TGAGATAATTCTTTCTTTTCTGCAATAAGAATTATCTTTGTAGAAAGCAGACCTTCAGTATATTCACACTCTCACTCTTCCCCGAGTTTATTTGTAAGCTGTCAAATACACAATTTACTACAGTAATACAAATATAGCCTCCTGCTGCTGACTGCATTTTGATATGGAAATGTATTCTGACTGTAAGTATTATTTTACAGAACTCAGTCCTTGCAGAGCAAATATAAAAACCACTCTTACAAATCTGTTTCTGCTCTTTCTGTTTACTGTGCACATTGATGAACTTTTGGTGTTCACTCACTGTTGGCAGTGACAAAAGACCATCTAATATAACGCTTGAGATGTATTACTAGCTTTTGACTGAGTAATTTTTAAAAGAAATTACACGCTCCAAAAAATGATAATGGATAATAGGATCTTTATCTCGAAGGAGTTGTAGAGGGAATATAGTAAGATTCAATTCGCAGCCACCGACCGGGTCACATCTCAGTGAAAAAGATGTATTATTTCTGACAGCCATTATGGGCTGATGGCTGTGAAAAGAGCAACAGAGTAAATTTCATGGTCCTAGTCTAGACCTCAGTGGTCAAACTTACAGTGAAAGCTAGTGTTCTCCATGGGTGTTAATATTTCTATCTTGCAACCATGTGGTCTTCATTCTATAAAGCCAGATGTCAGTAGTTTTGGTAAAATGACCATGGACTAACTACACATGGAACTTGAACTTGAACTGTCTTTTCCTTTGAAGATTTCATAGAGAAGATGTGTTGGCAGGGCAATATGTTCCTTGCAGTTTTTTTGTTTGTTTGTTTTCCAAAACTGTGCATAAAGAAAGGATTTTTCTTTCAAACTTCTTAATGTGATACCTTTATCACCACAGATTTCTAAATTTATAAGAGACCCAAATCATCTGCCACTGAGTTATTAGTCATGGAAAAATCTGAAAGAGTCTATCCATGCATTTATGTTGTGCTGGTTTTGTTTTTTTTTTTATTGTTAGAATTCATGTTTGCCATCAGCTCTGCACAGCTAGTAAGTTCTGGTGCATGTAAACTATTCTTAACATAACTTTGTGAAACTGGGGAAGAAAGCAAGCAGCAGAGTGTTTTTTTATGATCTTTAGAGTAGTGAAAGATTAACTACTTTTTTTTCCAATAAGGACCAATTCTATGCCACAAATCAGAGCAAATTATTAATTCTCTATATTTAAAAGGTAACACACTATCCCTGAAGCTAAGCGCTTTGTGAATGAAATGGAGAAATGTAGCAAACGATCTTTCTGCAGGACATTGTGCAAGGATGCAAGCCTTCACAGAATCACATAACCATAGAGTGGGTTAGGTTGGAATGGACAATTGTATTATAAACACAGAGGGCTAAGTAAGTGTGCATCTGTGTTGGAATATTTCTCCCTTCTGTACTAAAGCACAAAAAAAAAATAAATAAAAAAAAATCATATAAGACATGTAAGAAAATATCTGTACTGTTAAGACCAAGAAGCCCAGATTCTGCAAGACCAGCTCTATGACTAAAGCTAACTTTCAAGCTACGGCAGGGGAGATTCAGGCTGGACATCAGGAAGTATTACTTTTCAGCAAGGGTGGTCAGGCACTGGAATGGACTGCCCAGGGAGGTGGTGGAGTCACCGACCCTGGGGGTGTTCAAGGAAAGGCTGGATGTTGTGTTGAGGGACATGGTTTAGTAGGAGCTATTGGGAATAGGTGAACGGTTGGACTGGATGATCTTGAAGGTCTTTTCCAACCTTGGTGATTCTATGATTCTATGATTCTAAAGCTGCACAAAAAGGTGTATATCCATGGAACACTGAAATAACATCACTACAGGTATGTAAACATCAGATCAGCCCAGCTGAAGCTCCGATGGTGTCAGTGGCATTTGCTCTGTGGCTTTTCTTTGCATAACCATGGCACAGCTCAGCAGCTCTTAAGAATTCATTACAAAACCAACATGACATCAAAAGAATGCATGCTGGTTCTGTTACCAGTGAGATTTGATAAAGGATATGAATTCCCACAAAATATTTTTCAGGGTGAAGTGAGTTAACTTCTAAATGGTGTTGAGTATATTGCACTGTCTTGCAGGAGCAACCATACGAAAAAATTCAGGTGATTCAAAAAAACACACCAGTTGCATCATGTGCCAGTCTCTCTTCTTGCTCATCCAGCTGAGAAAACAATACTACTGACTTTGTTAGCTGAACTAACAATAGGCAACAGAAACAACAGACATTCAATGCTTGTAAAGGTATTTCACTTTTCCAAAGCAATAAGGCACTGATATGAGAAAAATAATCTAACTTGTAATTCATTTTCTATACCTGCATTACTATTAAATGTGTAGTATGTCTTGGCAACGCACATTGTTGGGGCTGCAGGCAAAACGATAATGTCTTCCTACATGCCTTTAATCAAAATACCAATTTTAGAATATATTTCTGGACTGCATTCATTTAAGCAATAATCCTGCAGATTCCCTGTGCTAAAGCCAAAATCTTCTGAGGATGGCAAGTATCTGTGCATCCATCTTGAACTTGCAGAAGATACACAGAAGAAGATAAATGAACACAGAACGTGTTCATTTACACAGAATGTGTTCATTTAAATTGAATTCCAAATAAAAAATTCCCCAAGCTGATACTGAATCTACAAGGTACACCTGGGTACTGAGAGTATCACAGGACTGCAAATCCTTGCCTCAGCTTTTTTTAGAAAACCAGTAACCTTGGACACTAATGTATTAAAATTGCCAAGTAAATTCTGCTTTTAAAATGACAATAGATTTCCATGACTCATGAAATGGCACAGTAAGCTGTACCAGCACCTACCTGTTCAGTGACTAACAAACTAGGAGGTTCCCATGCAACCAGAAGCACTGATGTAGAAAACAGATTTAAGGGCTATTATGCTTCTATCTGATACATACATTTTAATTCATTCACTGAATATGCTAACTGTATGTTTAGCTAAGTGCTTATAATTGGCCCCAGGTGTAAGACTCTAAAGATCATTATTGTTGTCTCCATACTGATACTCTTGTGTATCCACCTAGAAAGAGGGTACCTCATATTATCATAAGGAATTAAAGGCAATATGAAGAGTGCATGCTAGGGGCATCCACCACTTCAGGGAAAAATGGTGGGCCTGGTTTTTTTACTCCTCAATTCAATATTTCATAAGATCATATTCGCTTACCAGCAAGATTCCCTTTTTCTCCTTCTCATTTGGAAAACCTTCATCTGTCTCTTATTTTAAATGTGTATATTTGTTTCTCTTCTTTCTAGTATCTGATTCCCCTGTTTTATCCCACCTTTGCACCACTCCAGGTCATCTGCAACCAGATAAATAGTGCTTAATGTTCTTATCTGCAGCTCTTTCTGTGATCTTTGTATTTTCCACAAAATCAAAAGACTCCCAGGATACCTGGACTATAACAGAAGTACAGCCCCAGGGAGAAAATGACGTTCATTTCTCCTAGCTAGTGTCTGCACTACTACTCATGATTTAAATGCATCAGCAGCACATGCTGATGTTTTCTTAGCATCAAATACAGCCTTCTAAACACAAACTACCACACTGCTTCTACCAGGATGAAAGGCGCAGTTATTTACTTAGGTGATTAGAACAGTAAGGAGTTCTATTCTAAATAAAATTAGCATTAAACAATCTTTTTCCATCTACTGTCTTGCTAACTACTCTGGAATCAGCAAGACAATTTCAGCTGTTGAATTTTCACCTTAATAAGGGTTGTTATCTTTGAAGATTTTCTTAAGAGTTAATAATGAGGTATCTCTTTTCAAATGAAATGAATTAAAATGAAAATGCCTCCAAATCCCTTTTCCCTCTGGATACCAAAGTATGCCTTGAACTAATTATTGTCAGAAATTTAATCTCTGAAATGATAACTTCTTTATCTTCAGTGCTTTCTGATGAACATGAAGAAAATGATGTTCCATGCAGTGGTTTGTACTTCTGTGCGTAACTGATGCAGCGGCTGAATCTGGAGTCTTAGGAGGAATTAAATGCTATAAACATAGAGCAGAGTGCCTGTCACTGCCTGCAACGGAAGAACCAAGGTCCAGGTGATACTATTCTTACTTCAGTAAGAGAACAATACATTGAGTACAATAGTCCTCTTTCACCAATCTCCTCTTTTACACATAAGTACTATATCCATACTCAGCACCTCTCCTTATGTTACTGATTGAATTGTGTGCAATATTTGGCCTCACTTTTTTCAATACATACAGCTACACTGCCAGAGTATCATTTTGTTCTTGAAAATGCATTGCATTGTATTATAAAAATGTAACATAAAAACAAAATCAGACACCTAAAAAATGGCTGTAAATACACAGTTTGAAGTGATATTGAAAGATGGATGAAAGCCAGGCACTCCTTAAAAGCTTATCCACCTCCCTGTGCATTCAATGTAGGTTTACTATTTTATCAGTGCTTATCTGCTATTACTTCCACTATGTGCATCTCTGTGGCTTGAATTACTTCTGCAGTTGACCTGCATTGTCAGTAGAGGCTTCCTTTAGCTTGTCTGTGTTGTCCTCTTTTCTGCATCTCCGAGAATTACACACACCTCAGTCATACCTGTTCTTAACCACCAGCATTTAGGTGAATATCTCCCAATATTTCTTATTTTACTCCAGTTACTATTACAGCTTTCTTACGTTCAGAGTATTGGATTTTATGTTCTTCCTCTATGCCATTTTGGTAGGGTTTCATCCTGGGTGTTGGTTCAGTCATAAACACACAGATTTGTGGTGAGGATCTGCTGATTCCAGATCTTTGCCACTGGCTTTTCAGTTTGACCCTGGCACCTCGTATACCCCAGTTTATGTGAAATGAATTAGAACTAGCCTTACCTGTGCTAACATGTATTCCAGGGATGCACTCATGCTTGCAGAGCTCTAGGAGTTCCCCGATTTTAAATGATTTAGAGGAGAAAGTATTTTTCATAGCTATTTTTATAGTAAGGCAGGAAGGGCAGCAGTTTTATTCACTATTTTGCACAAAACTTTTGGTCTGTAAGAGTTTTCTAATCGATTTTTCACAATGTGGACCAAAGACATATTTTTAGCCATTAAAATGCCAGTCATGCTGTTTAGAATTTGTCCTTGAGCCTTGTGACAGCCATCTGAAGCACAGCCACTATTATTTATTGCATGCATTTCTAAAATAGTTCAGTCTTTTTCCAGCTTGCTATCTACAGTTAATAATTATTAACTCAGAGAAAAACACCTTCAGCATCTCCAGGTTTAAAAGTACAGCAGAAGCTTGCTAAATGTCTTACTAGATAAATCAGCCATTGAATCTCTGGCGCCAGTGTTTCTGGCAAAATCTCTTGGGATGATGGCTTCAGAAGTCCATGAATCAAGGGAAGGCACCTGCTTACAAGAATAACATTTCTTCTGTTTTGCATTTGTGAGAATCCAGCTTTCTCACTTGACAGGAAAGCAAGTGGCTGACACTCACTGCAGCCAAAATGTTTGACTTTCACAGCGGTTTCCAGAAAGATTCAGTGGTAAGGAAGGACCCTGGAGACAGTGACAGCATGTCCTTCAGCCGATACTGAGGTGAACCAACCAATTCCTTCTGAAGGAACAGTCAAGAGCAACGTGTATAAATTGCATCTCCAACAGGCCGAGGTTGCTAGTTAAGAATCATCTAAATGGCCACTTACATTCTCCAGATGATTCCCAACACCTAAAGAAAAAGGAAAGGAAAGAAGCACAGGAGAGAAAAAAAAAAAAGCCTTCTAAGACAAAACATTTCTGATGTGACATTTCATGATTTTTCCAAATGATTCTGAGTATACAGTGTTGCTGTACTTAATGTTCCTGCGGAGCGCTGAGACATTCAGTTAATTATTGAGCTGTACTGGGTAGGTTGGTCACACAAATTTAGATAAGGTCAGCTCTTTTCTCGGAGCACATGTTACTGCCACGTGCACAAAAAAAAAAAAGGAAAAGCAATTGCATTTTTTAATCTGCATCTTTGAGCTCTTTATTTTCGTTGCCAGTTAATACTAAAAATGTAATCTAGTCACTGAAAAAATGGAATTTCAGCTTTCATTTTTTATCTTTGGATGCTTTCACATGTTCTGACAAGAAAGATTAGGGTCAAATACATATAGGGAATAAAATTGTTTCTGAAATCCTGAAATGCATTTTGAAACTGCTGTTTGCTATTGGAACAGTCTGCTTCTTTTTTTTTTTTCTGTTTGTTTGCTTTTTTAATGCCTCACAGTTAATTGAAACTAATAACTTTCATATGAAAATTTAATATAATTGAGGAAATATTCATGGAAACAGTAACACTGTATTTAATTCCTTTCTGCAGTCTGCTTCAGCTATGAATCTGGACTCACAAACTGGACGGCTCTTAGAAGGATCCTCTCTTGGATGAAATAAATGAGAATTAATACTTTCCATTATTATGTACCTTTTCATAGGGTTGCCCAGCCGGTGGGAATTTTCCTTAAGAAAGGAAGGGAGATTATTCTGCAGATCTGTCACTGCACCATCAGCTACCTTTTGTCATTTCTAAGCATTTTCTGAACGTGGCTCAGAAGGCTCATTTTTGTTTTCATCTGCTGAGTGATGCTGATGATCTCTCCCTGTGGATGAATGTTAAGATGAATGCTGTCAAATGAAAACAGATAGATACATTTGATGCTCTTATATATGTATTCTTTTGCTGTTTGCTTTCTTGCTTTTTACATTTGATTTCTTAATATGTGTAACTCCATTGCTATCTTATTCACTCCAGAATTTACCAAGATTATAATTTATCAATATTGATCATCTTAGGAAAAGCAGACATACAAAACAGAGGGAGCCAACAAACAGGAGGGGAATCAACTCTTTGAAAAGGTTGATAACTGCAGGACAAGGGGAAATGGTTTTAAGTTGAGGGAGGGGAGATTTAGGTTGGATGTCATAGAGAAGTTCTTTACTATGAGAGTGATGAGGTGCTGGAACAGCTGCCCAGAGAGGCTGTGGATGCCCCATCCCTGGAGCTGTTCAAGGCCAGGTTGGATGGGGCCCTGGGCAGCCTGGTCTGGTATTAAATGGGGAGGTTGGTGGCCCTGCATGTGGCAGGGAGGTTAGAGATTCATGATCCTTGAGGTCCCCTCCAACCCTGGCCATTCTGTGATTCTGTGAGATTTCACTGAATTCCAGCCCGTTATTCTGCTACATTTGGATGGAGTTATTAGAAACAGTCTGAGTTATTTTTTCTATTTTGTCACTAACTCATGTTTTCATAGATTGGGTTAAAAGAAATCCCAAACACACTAGATAAATTTCCATAATAATGTCAGTACTGGAAAGATATTTTTGGATTCTGAGATTATTAGTCAACATTTCAGTAACAAACTGTGGTGAAAATGTTTCTCCAGCCTGATTTAGAATAATTTTTATTTATACAAAGTGATATAACTTCCATACCTATAAATTAAGCTGAAAGAATATTTTTTTTACTCATGTGTCAGGAGCCTCAAAATTCCTACTGACTCAGAGGAAATGTTAGACATTTGTATTCCTTGGGGCATTCAGGCTATGTGCATACCAACTAAGCTGGAATTAAAAATAAGCTACATCAGACTTAAATGAAATATATGCTAATTTGTTTTAACAGTTAGATACTGAGGGAAACATATTTTAAAAGAAATGAAATACTGCATAGTTGGATTTTAGGCATGTACAATATAATTTTATTTGCTACCTAGAAATGCTTTTGCATACTGTGGAAACACGGCTACTGAGGACGTGCAGAGAAAAAGGCAGTATTTTACAAAGTAGTTTTAATTAGACTGATAAAGTAGTTTAACTAGTCTGTTACATCTAAGCAGGTCTAAATCACTTAGACTAATGTGGTGTTTTGAAGCATTATGGCTGGACAGCTCTTAGAAGAAAGGGCAACAGCAGTGGCATGGTGTAAGGATTGCCCCAGAAAGGTTTTAACTCAGTTCTCACTGAACTGGTCCAGGCAAATTCTACAACAGCACTGCCCCAGCAAAGAAATGATAACATCAAGCACATGATAAAAACATAAATATGGGAACTTTGTCTTAGGAAGTCCAAGGCAAACCTCTGAGCCAAGTACCTAAATAACAATGTGGCTGCGTGACTGATAACGGACAGTTCTTTCTTTAAATGCTATCCTGTGCATGGATTTAGAAAGCAGTAGGTAGCACTAATGTCTGAAAGCGTGTCTAATGCTCAGCACTTCATTTCAATACAGCTGGATTCTCTTTCAACCAAGTATGAAAAATACAGGACGGAAGTGCAGCTAGGCTATCGCATATCTCAGCAGTGAGTTTCTGCTCATTTCTGTTTTCCCACATGTACGCAAAAGAAGATGCAGTGATGGTGAACTGGTAAAGACCTCAGCTTGCAACCAGCAGAATTTCCTACTGAAATTATTAAATTATACATATATATACATATATAGTAGTTACTAAGTTTATTTAATATGAAATTCAATATATAATTATTGAATTTATCATACAATTATTTATCATACAAAACTGTGTTTTTTGTGGACCTAATGCACAGAAATAGTAAACACACATATATGAGCACAGTCATGCAGATACTTCTGTAAGTGACATTTGCCCATTGTTTTCTGTCTTCATTATTTCAGAAAACAAGTTAATCAACTTTTCAAACTTGTTCTAATACATATTTCTAAGGTACTATGAAAATTAAGTTATTTACATGGTTTACAAAAGTACAAGTTGAAAAGGCAAGAGATCCCCTCCAACCTAAGCCTCTATCACTTTATGATTTTGTTTCTATGACTCAGAGAACCCTGCCAGCCTCAGCTGTGCTGGGACTCTATGAAAACCATGTAAATGGCTTTATTTTAGCTAGGACAAATTGAGGGATAGTATTATTACTTAGTAATGAGGTAGTGTACAGCAAGTCAGCTGAAGATGAAGGAACCAGCAAGATTATGGCTGGATACTCTCAAAATACTTGCTTATTACAGGGAAAACTAGGCCTTCCTAATGCTCCCTGCATTTGCCGAAACCTGAACAAACCAATTGGAACATCCATCTTTGGATAACAAGTCCCTGATCTGCAAACTGATGGAGGGTGGCACAGTAACTGTGCAAATGGCACACTCTACTCATCCAGCACTCACACTCTTCTCCGTGTGTTCTTCACATCTATTGCCACGTCTCTGGTTTTTGGAAGTAGCAGCACAGTTCTGCACCACGTGAAGCGGATGAATGAGCTTCTAGTCCATCTCCCAGGACAATAACATCACTTTAAATCAATTTAGTATAAAATCAATTGAACAGAAAGTCCTCAAGATGAAGACACATCAAATATTAAACTGATATGGAAAGATAGCGCACTTGATCATGGCTAGATCTTAGTCTGTAGTCTGACAGTAGGACCCTCAAGACTGTCCTTTTACTTCAGTAGTCAGAAGCTCAAGTACAAGTAATGTGTCCCCTTCTGAAGTTACTCGAAACAGCTATGAGTTTTGCATCTTAATTATGAGGCTCTAAAAGCACTGTGGCAATTTGTTAAATGTCTGAACACATAGTAGAGGTTCTCAAGTCTACCCTGAATTATCTCTAGGCTATTTTTCTTTTATATATATATATATATATATATATATATATATATATATATATATATATATAAATTTAGAGTTTGCCTTCATAATAATTTTCGAATAGTATGAGTTAACAAGGTGATTCTACCACCATTTCCAGGTCAGCAGACAGTGTATGTGCTCTCCTGTGCTGCTACAAGTGTTCCTGGTCCTCTGATCTGGCAGAAAAACATGATGATAGGGAACAATTTGTTCCTTAATCAGTTTCACCCAGAGCTGCACTACTGAGACTCCACAATTGTTTTCTGAGCAGGTATTTACAATGCTGAGGATGAAGACATTACTTGCCAAAGCCTGAGAAAGGCAGTGGGAATTTAAGAATACTGTCAGTCTGTGATATAATTTATCTTAATTTTGGGAAGGAAATTGAGAAGTTGAAGGAAATTTCAGTGGGAACAGTAAAGTCATTCTGTACAAAGTAGGAACAAGTCAAATCTGTGCTAATGCTGTTGATGTTTACATCATAGCTCAGAAGCTGAGAATGACTGAAAGAGGATGACTGTGCGGTTAAAGCAAGGCCACCTGACTCAGGAAATCTGAGCTCATTTCCTGGCTTTGCTATCTCTTCAGCTTTGCGCAAGAGATTTAATCTCTCCACTTACGATTTTTTTTTTCTTCCTGTATCATCGGGGAACAATTATGCTCCAAATTGTTCTAAGAATAAATCCATTAATGTGATGGGTACATTCAAGTTCAGGCAAAAAGACATACAAAAGCTTTGGCTGGTGTTTCTTATTTTTAAGAAGGCCTTTACGCTGCCTATGGGGCAGATGTACTGAAGTTCTCAGCCCATGTGTGCAAAGGTGCTGGTGGGGCTGACACTGCCAGGAAGGCTCAGCCAGGGCAGCGTGCCTGACTGCTAAGGAGGAGGCTGTACCAAGTGATGCTTATCAGCAACAGGGCTTTTTTACTTCCACAGGAGCACAGCTTGAAGTTACCGCATGGCCCTCCACTTCTGGGAGGGCTGCAAAGCAGGTGTACAAGGGTTAAGAAATTATGCTAAATTTCAGCCAAAACAGAGAATGAAACTTTGAAAATCTGAAGCTCAAGCACAGAAATGCAGATGCTGAAACAAAAATCCCCAAACAGGAGAGAAGCAGAAACATGTGCCCCAAATAAAGGCATGGGTATCAACAGAGCCACTACAGTCACCGAAGCAAGCGTAAGGAGCCCCAGGGAAAGAACCGTGTAGAAGCTTTGATATTGGCTGTTGGTGGGACATCAGGCCAGGAAACGCCACCAGCAGTGCAACAAGAAGAAAGGCCTGGCCCCACCTGGCTGGCAGCACTGCTTCGGGCTCCTCATGCAGCGGGCACATCTGGGCGCTCTGTGTGCCTCCCTCAGAGCTGGGATACCTGCAGGCCTATCTGCCTACGCCGTAACACACAGCCCGTTATTCCGCCCTGCTAACGGCCACCTCAGGGCAGACGTGCAGCCCCCCCAGGAGAGAGAGCGAAGGTCACACCGCTCACACCACCTCCTGACGGCCGCAAGGAGGGCAAGGCGCGCTCCGCCCGCCGTGACGCCGGGGTGGGGCGGGGGACGCGGAAGGGAGGCGGCAGGCATGCGCGGCGGGGCTGAGCGCTCCGCCACTGCCTCCCGGGCCAGCCGGGCGGGGCGGCGCGGGGCGGGGCGCGCGGCGGCCGCTACCTGAGCGCGCGGCGCGGCGCGGCGCGGCTTGAGGAGGGGGCGGTGGCTCCGGCCTGTGCCCGGCACGGCGGTGAGTTCCGCTGCGCTGCTGAGCGTCCCTCAGCCGGCGGCAGCCGGGGGTGGCGGGAGGGGGCAGCGGCATCGTCGGCCCCGCAGGCCGTGCGGCCGGAGAGAGGGGAGGGGCGCTGAGGGCTCTGCCTGCCGGCTCGGCCCCCGCGGGCACGGCCGTACCCCGGGGCACGCTGCGTGCCGGCGGGGCTCTGCTAGCCGCCAGCCCTGCCCCAGGTGTGCGCAGGGCCGTGTGGGCGGCGGGCGGGCGGGCCGGCCCCGTTCGGCCCGCAGTGTCGGCTTCGGTCGGGCGTACTTGCGGGCTGTGAGGAAAGCGCTGGGATGTTATTTTCCGTGATGTATTTCAGCTATGCTGCGGCTCAGATTTTCCTTGCACCGTCCGGAGCGCGTTAGGCGCGTCGCAGCGATTTCTGCGCTGTGACACGGCTTTGCTTTGCATCGCGCGCGGCACGGCGCCGCTGCCCGCGCTTTGACGCGCCGTGAGCCGCCGGCAGCAGCAGCACTCGGCTCGCGGCGCTCCGGCCTGCTCGGCTGCGGCTGCACCGCGCACGGTGCGCGGCAGCTCCGTGCTGTAGCGGCGCGGGGGGAGCCGGGCAGCGATCTGAGATAAGAACGGGAGCTGTGGTACGACCGCTTGGGGAGCAATCGGCGATTACTAGGGGTGGCGATTCCCGTTCTTAGAGGGTTTGTTTCTGTTGTACGTGGGCCTCTAGGCTTGGTTTAGTGCAGAACAGGAAGTTCTGTCGTTATCACGGTGTTAGAAACAGAACGAGGTGATGTCCGACGTCCCCTTTGTCGTGCTTTTGTGATGGGGAACGCTTGAGGCATTTCTTGCAAGTTGGAATATGTTTTCTGAAGGGGTGAAGAAGTGCTTCATCATGTTAGTGTGACGCAGTGAGTATTTAATCTTGTGCAGTCGTACTGAATGGAACTGACGGCTTCTCAAGTATCTATTGGCTCACATAGCCATAAACCGTATGGGCCCATTTAGGATTCAATACTTCCAAGCTGAAGAGGTGTCACCAAGCAGATGTTAACCTAGGATCCATGTCAACATACAGTTTGCAGCAGCTAAAATGTAAGTTTGATCTTTGCTCACAGCCAGCACCTTTCAGAATAATAGTCTCTATGTTTGGGCTCCAGAAATGGCTGAGTAGTGTCTTTAATCATAAGACTCCTTTAAAGAATAGAAATACTTGGGATTTTGGAGGTTTCTACAGTTACTTTTTGTGCATTATGACACCTCGTATTTCTGACTTTAATTATTAGTATGTATGAGTATATGAAACCTGAATAATAATGACCACAACTAACATGGTGATCTCAAGGAACATAGTGTTATACTAATAAGTAATCCTGTTTAATGGAACTGCTCGTGTAAAAGCTTGCTGGAGTAAAACCTATTAGTTTTGGACCTGATCATCCTTTAAGATGGATTGGTTGTTTGGAATAAACCGTTTGCAAAGAAGAGTTGGCACAGGCTTTTCTCAATATAAAGCCATGGCACCTTCAGTCTTCAAATGAACTTTGCTTGTGTGCAGTTTTTGAAAGAATGCAGGTCTGTGGACATGAAGGAGACAAAAGGGAGTGACAGGTTACAGTTACAGCTGTGGTTGTGTTGTTTTCTTTTTGCCACTGTTGCAAATTGTAAACAGCAGTGCCATCCCTTAATTAGAAGCTTTCAAGAAGGATTAAATTATTTGCCAACAAGGATGCTAACAAGATGAAAATACTAATGGTGGTTGTGATAATTAGGTTTAAAATCCTGTATTGTGATTCAACTGAAGCGATAAAAAAGGCTTATGTAAATCTCTGTATAACTAAATGCCTGTATGTTAAAGTAAGATCGAAACAGCGTTAAACTAATCATTCCGAAGGTGAAGCTGAGCTAGTCAGTGTAGGTCTCTGTATTTCTTCCTACTTCTGGGACGCATGCTGAAGCCTGCTTCTGAATTTCTATCAAGTTAGATACAGTTTTGAGGATGTTCTGAGCAAACCGTACCATTCTCAGTCTAAAGCAGCTTGATGCCCAGAGCCTTAGAGATCTGGATTTTACTTTCTAGCTACTTTCCCTCTGTTCTAAAGGGGAGGACTTAGCTGGAACACTTCTGTTGACTGTATTGTATAGTGAGACAGGACTACTGGGACTGGGGAGTGTTTTTCTTTGATTATATGGGGAACTTGTGACACAAGGTCTCAGTGAAATGCCTTTTTCACAGTACAGTTTGTTGGGATTTTCGTGAGCTCTTAGTCTCTGTGATGATTTGAGGTAGTGATCTGCAGAGTACATTTTAATGGCTTTGATTGAAGAGGAAGTATGGTTACTGTTGGCAGTGCTTGCTCTGCTTGGAGTGCCTAGTTTTTTAGCCAGAGGAAGACAACTCTTTTACTTTTATGCGGTGGTAGAACAAGTTTGGGGTCTGGAAGAACCCTTAAATTGCAAACAATTTCTGAATTGCAAAAGAACTCCTATGTTTTAAGCTTCATTGGCTCAGATTGCTTGTGACAGACTCAGCATAAGTTAAGTTTAACATCATGGGAGAATGTCCTGAATATCCTGGGTTCTCTTGGCTCAGAAATAAAGTGTGTGGTTTGGGCTCCGTATAGATACAAAGATTCTCAGTAGTCTATGAATTTGTGTGATACTTAGTTTCAATTTGTGAATCATATTAATCATAGGAACACAATAAGAAAAACTTTGTATAGTAATACTATTACATAGTTAATCAATATTTTTGATGAGTGCTTGCTCCCAGCTAATGTGCATCTCACCAAGGCAAATTTGCATAGGTTTAAGCTTGGGAGGCCAAGGGTGCTGTTGTTAGTAGCAGGAGACGTGAGGAAAGGAGCAAAATCTTTCATCCTGCATAGCTTTGTCCGTCAGGAAACAGATGATAATTAAAAAAAAAAAAAGCACAAAACAATGCCTCAATCTCCATGTAAATCTTGCAGTTGTGAATGTGCTCTGAGATAGTTTGTATAAAAATAGCGCTGTACCACAGATGAATTGAGACGTTGAGTAAACAAAACTAATCGCGTGTCCCCACGCCCTATAAATTCAAGTAAAATGTGAGTACAGGTGACCATCTCTGTGCAAATTAGTAAGCTGATATGGGAGAAATGGCTGCTTTGGTCAAGCTGTCAGTATTCATGTTGAGTTACTTATGTTCCGCATGTCTGCTTCATTCAGTTTGTTAGAGAAACAGTTTTACTTTTCAGTTCTGATTGGATGAAAGTATAATAAGTATCTGCAGCTTCTTGTGTTTAAAAGCTGACCTTGATGGGTACATTCAAATCTGTGTACTGTAAAATCAGTAAGAAAATGTCCAAATACTTACAGAAGGCTGTTAGCCTTTGGTTAAAATATGTTATTTTTTAATTCTTTAGCAGACTTGCTAAGTTGTTTGTTCTGGAATATTTTTCGGAGTTTGCTTTTGAGGTGGGGAGCTGATTTGGAGCTTCTGTCTATGATGTGATTACTACAACTGCTCAGCACTAATGAAATTCCAGCGGCGCTTTGAAAATCACTTTGGTCTAGAAATTAGCAGGTTTCAGCTGAAAGCTATGATATGCTGATGTGGCTGCAGTATTTTTGATTAAGCATGGATTTTGAAGAGAAGTCAAATAAATACGATATCAGAGAATGCAAGCAGTCTACTGTCATCTTGGAAGAACATACAAAACAAATGGATCCTCTTAAGTAGTTTGTTTGGTAATAACGAGGGCAGAAGTCAGTGGCCAGTTCTTGCAATGTAGGGTTATTTATTTATTTATTTATTTATTTTACAGTAGTGTTGAACTGGAGTATGTATGAAGACTCCTGTAGTTCCAAGTAACCTGGATAGCAGCGTAATTGTAGCCCCCTCTGCACGAGCTGTATGTTGACATATTTAAGTCTTCAGAGAAAGTGTTTTGGTAGGAGAAGTGTAAAAGGATGGTTAGAGGAGGTTTGATGACCTTTCAGGACTTCCAGCCTTGGAAGAGGGACCACTTCTTGTAAAGACACAAAAATCAAGTCTCTTAAAGGAAGGACAAATATGACCCTGCCTGTTTGCAGTATCCTCCTATACGAGAAGTAAGCTCTGTCAAATTAACCTTTCTAAGAGTTAGCAGCAGTGCTCAGGAACTCTAAAGGCAGTCATAGATGGAATAAGGTTGGAGGCTCGAGGACAGGTTGGGCAGGATTGTGGAGGAGAGATCTGCAGAGAGTTCTAAATCTAAATATATCAAATTCAACAAATCCTATGAACTGGAAATAGTTGAAGTCATATTATATGCTTGCTCTGTTCTTCTTTTTCCTGGTGCATTGTTTTGAGACTAACATGGGAGACAGTATTTTCTTATTCATGGTCTTTAAAATAAGTTTAACTGCTGGAACTGGATGGATGAGCTAGAGAATTGAAACTAGAGCTCTGAATTGCTGGGATCCAAACCCAGAGAAATACAGGCGTTTGTTTACTATTTCAAGCTCTCACAGTTTGCTTTCTTTCATGAGAGGAGTTTTAAAGATTTCCTCTGTTGTTCCCATATTTAGTGGTTTTTTTTTTTTTTTTTTTTAATGCAGTAGTGTCTGATTTAGGAATATGTATCTATTTCTAAAAATCTGTAGCCACGGTTTGATACTTTTTTTCGAGGCCATGATCTTCAGATAAAAACTAGATTAGTGTAAAATAGCATTGGCAGCTAGAAGAAATGGAATTAATAGAATTTTCGTCTATCTGGCTGCTGTTTTACCGTATGTAGTCTTGTTCACTTTTC